GGGAGGTAATAAAATAGCTGGATCCAGTCCTGACTTGCTAGGTGCTCTAGGCGGGGTGAGGCTTCCCAGTCCACCTTGGAAGGGAGGGGTGGGTTGATCTGGTTTCGATGAAGGCTCTTTGAAAGCACGCAAAAGCTGCGTGCTGCTTTCTTCATGTCTCCAGATGGGCCCTTATTTCTGCTTGCTCCCAAGTTTGCTTTGCTTTGCTAACCCCTGCACTTCTTCCTATTCATTCATTTCACGTTTGGAGTGTGGAAGTTAATTGCATGTGGTGTAGGGAATGCAGAAGTTGGCCACTTGTGGGCGTGTCCCAGTAGGCTCAGGGTTCCCGCATGGAATCCTTCAGACCCTCAGCTGACATCAAGATAGCAAATCTAGAAACCTGGCGCCTTCCTCCACCCAGAGACTGCGGTCTCCTACTTCCGGCTTGAAGAACTAGCTTTAACTGGCACGTAGACTGCTACCCTAGGGGCGCGGGCTAGGGCCCTGGATCCCACTTAGGGACAGACTAGGGAAGGTGTGAGTCAGAAGCCGGGGTGGACCAGGCTAAAAAGGGCATTTAGAAATCTTTGGGCCACGCCTCCCCCTTTCCTTAGAAGGTGGTGAACTGCTCTGGGCTGTCCTGCTTTGGGGAAAAGACTAGTTTCCTCCACCCTGGGAGTTGAGTCTTATTGTCAAAAAGCTTAATGGACAGCCCGGGTAGCCACAAAGCAGGCTCTAGCCAATGCTACAAATGTCCAGTCACCTTTGCTGTTAACCACATCCTGAACACTCAGTCCCATCCCCCAAAGAGGGAAGTTGTGGTCCAAACAGGCAACTTTCGCTCCTATAAGCAGGATGCAGGGAGGGGAGAGAAATGACAGGACTAGAATCTCAGGTGGCACTGGGGGTAGGGGTGGGGCAGGCTGCAAAACCAAACAGGGACAGTTGGCAGCCGGCTTATAAAGAAGCAAACACTTGAAGTGTTAGTGCTGTGAACCTTGTGTGGGGGTGTGTGGGGGTGACTTCCAGCTACTCATGACTCAGAGTATAGTGGGAGTATGGCTCCCCAGAAGTCAGGAAAGGATTCTAGTATACAATTCCTAAACAGTCACACCCAGGGAACTAACATAGTAACCTCAGCCACCATTTCCTTAGTTTAGCTTCATCCCTGCTACTAGCATTAATGGGGGTATTTATTTTCATCTAGTTACATACTTAACAACTCTGACGGATCATTTCACAAAGGGGGAAAAAACGAGGCCCAGGGAGTGCAAATAGATTGGGGGGGGGGAAGAAGAGCTCAAAGCAAGGTTAGTCAAAGCTTGGTTTTGAAGCCTTTCATCTTAATCTCACCGGTATTTGACAAATACCAGCTGAACCCAAACTGTATCCCTGCTCTAGAGAGGTCTATGGCGATACCAGGGAACAAGACAAATCTCTATCATTACGTAGCTAGTAGAGTGAAAGCAGACTGATGTCAACCAAGAATGACAGGAACACATAAAAGATAACTTCTAAGAGAAGTGACAGTTACCAAAATTTTAAAACGGGGCCTATGGCTGGAGATTGTGTAATTCCTTCATGTGGGCACTGAGTGGGACAAGAGGATCACAAACTCTAAGCCATCTTGGGCTCTACAGAGAGACTGTTTCAAACAACAAAGAAAATGAAAGACAAAGAAAAGGAGGGGTTCTATTGTGGGAGATGGTGGTGGGCTGCAGGCCTCTATTGAAGACAACATTTGAAGTGGAACTGAAAAACCAGAAGCCAAATAATGAAAAGCTGGGGGAAGGGCATCTATAGTAATGGGAACGGTAAGTTCAAAGGCCAGACGCAGCTAAATTTGTCATGTTCTACAAGTTCAGGTATTTATCACTGCTTGAATGCATGCACTCAACACTCACAAAAACGTTTCAACCTTTCCATTAATTAACTTCTTAAACAATGGCAATTGTAAAAGGGTGCCCCTTCATTTGGAACGGCCCTATGTTTGGGGTGGGGGCAGGTAGGCCCTTAGGTTGAATTCAGCCTTTCAAATAATTTCTTTACACTTGAGATGAATATAAAACCAATGTCCAGAACACATTGTGGAGTGTGTGTGTGTGTGTGTGGGGGGTGTCCTTAGTATCAGAGTTAGATACTAAGATGGCCTGGAGAAATTATTTGCTCACATACACAGTGCAAAATGTCAACTTTCTTACCCCAAATTGTACTCCAAGAACCATCCCCTTACCATGTCCACCTGTCAGCAAAAAATGTTTGCTTTTTCCATTCTTCATCTAAAGCTGGCTTGGCCTATCTTCTTAGAATCAGAAAGCTGAGGTCTAGCCCGCAGGCTGAAGACTTCTCTGCAACTGGACAGCACGGTAAACCACTGGCTCCCTAGACTCTAAGTAGATGATTAATAATCAGTACTCTTTACCAGGTGACCACTAATCAGTACTCTTTACCAGGTGACCACCAGGTCCTGTTCTCACGAAGTCTTTGCAGCACTATCTCCTATAAGCAAAGCCTCCCAAATTCTGGAAACTGGCTGCATCCCCCTCACACCAGTTTCGTATCATTTGACTACAGAACCTGACCTAACTTAATCAGGAACAATTTTCAATCTCCCTTCATCTCACTTATTGTGAACATTTACACCATTTCTTGAGATAATTAAGTTTTAATACCCCCAGGTCCTGCCCAGAGTGTTAGGTAATATACTGTACTATCTATCAGTGGTTCTCAACCTTCCTAATGCTTGCTGCAACCCTTTAGTACAGTTCCTCACGTTATGCTGCTCCCCCAACTGTAAAATTATTTTTGTTGCTATTTCCTAACTGTATTTGGCTATGGTTATAAATCAAAATGTAAATATGTGCGTTTTCTGATGGTCTTAGGTGACCCCTGTGAAAGGGTCTTTAGACCCACAGTTTGCGAACCATTACTATATAAGCAAAAACGGAAAACCTTCTAAAATTCAAAGCTAAGAATTCAGGAAACATACCTGACCTCAAAAATTTCGGGTTTAAGCCGGGCCTCGGCCATTTTTTTCAGCTAAGGAAACTGAGGCACTCTATTGCTTCTTGGTCTTTTGGCTAAGATCAAATGTAGGAAGTCAGAATCGCTCGGTTCGGAGTGGAAGTAGCGCTTTTGCAATTTTTGAGAAGTTAAAGGTCTCTATAGTCTCGCACTTGGTACCTGGAGCTGCCAGACACCTAGAAGATGAGGGCTTGTGCAGGATTCGCACTGTCTTTGGCCGGAGGGCAAAGGGGGCTTCCGGGGCGGCAGCCACCTGGCCCGGCCCCCTCCGGCCCCGCCCGCTTCAGCTAGGCGCGGTGATTCATTCCCTCCTTTGCCCGGGGGCCCCCTTCCCGACCAGACGGCGGGACGAACGGCTGGGTGTGCAGCGACCTCGAACTCGTGAGCCAGAAAACAGAGCTTCTGCGTCCCAGTGACTCCAGCACACACCATGGCGGACTCTGAGCGCCTCTCGGCCCCTGGCTGCTGGTTAGCCTGCACTGGCTTCTTACGCACCAAAAAGGGACTTTTCCTGTGTGCTGAGATTGTGAGTGTTCCGGGGCTGGAGGGTGGGCAGGCTGGACCGCTCGGTACTGGACTGTTCGGGCTGAGGCAGGCACGTGGCCAGGCTGGTTGGCAGTGGGGTGCAGGTGGGTGAGTTCGTGGAGGAGGATCGAAGCCAAGGTGCAGGGGGTTCCCTGGGACATGGGCGAAGTAGTGGAGAGCTGGTGGTGCACTGGTGAGGCGAAGAGTCTATAACTTATGTTGAGGGCTCGGCGTGGGGGCATAGACTCATAGTGGATGCAAAGAAGGGGTCCCGGGGAGAGTGGGAGCCTCTCGTGGCAGGGCGTGGCCGGCCTGGGCACTGGCTGGCGGGCTGGCAACGCGCCCAAAGGCGGGGCCTGTTGGGGTGGGGTAAAACTAGTCCCCTAGGGTAGGGCACTCCACCCTTTGCCAGTTCTCCCTTGCCAGTTTGGGACTGGATGGGAGGTCCTTAGCTCTTTGGATGGTTATAGGGAACTTTGGTTTTCCATCCCCCTCAAAGTGGTCACTGCCTTTGGGTCACTTATAAAAGAGGTGCGGCGCCTTTAACGGAGCCCTGCCCTCCTAGTGTCAGTCTCACCCCTTCCCAAAGGGGTTGCCTGGGGAACCGCACGTCCCTCCCCTGAAGGCATGGACGCTGGCGCCACCAGCGCTCACAAAACACCTGGCAGAGCCACTCCCCTCAGGGAAAGGGGGAACCGAAGCACATAATTCTGCTCTTTTCTTACTGGGTGACCCTGGGCAAGCCATTTAACCTCTCTATGACTCAAATTTCTAATGTATAAAATAGAATAGTACCTAGCTCATTAGATTCTTGTGATGATTAAGTGAAATAAAACATGTAAAACTCCTAGACAATGCGTGGAGAACAGTGAGCATGCGAGAGGTCTTTAGCAATCATTGCTTGTCATTTTGGCACTTCTGGTAGTTCGTCGCCAAAAGGAATTTTTCTTTCCTCCCCCACTTCCAACTCTCCCTGCTGAGTGAGCAGAGCCTAGGGCCTCATACGTGTTAGGCAAATGCTCTGCCTCAGAGCTATATCGCCAGTCTTGGGAAGTGGATTTCACTTTTTTTTTTTTCTGATGGCCATCTTTTCTAATTTCAAACTTTGCTCTTAAGCCACGGCTGATGGCTGATTGAGGTCCCCTGTCCCCCTCTCAGATACTGTGCCTGGTGGTTTTAATTTGCTTCAGTGCTTCGACATCAGCATACTCCTCCCTGTCGGTGATCGAGATGATCTTTGCTGCTGTCTTATTTGTCTTCTACATGTGTGACCTGCACTCCAAGATATCATTCATCAACTGGCCATGGACTGTGAGACAGGGACCAGCATTGCTGAGGGTGGACAGGGGGTTGGGAAGTTGCAGTGGTCTGG